GATATGGCTTCATCCATCCCAACTGGTGCGAAAAAAAGTAGTTCCGACATCAGAGTCAGAATCCCATCAAGGGTGCGAGCCATTCCGAGCCACGTTGGCCGAACAGTTCAATCCATGTCCGCACGCCCCTCTCCGTTTGGCACGCCAAGGACAACACGCCTTCAAGCATGAGGCTGAAAAACGGTATGTCTGCAAGCGTGACGATGATGTGGAGGGATACGTCAGCCGTCATGAGAACCCATGTCAAAGTTAACCTACTCACCTGGCAAGCCGACCAACTGACCGACAGTTTGAGTCTTGCTTCCATTTGCCCGAGGTGCCCCCCAAAAATGAGTCATTCTCTCGCTACAGCTATGATCGAAGGGAGGGTTCCAAATACCTTCTGAAACTAACTGGGTAAACACGTCGCTTCAAAGGGAAAGATTGCTGTTGACCTTTTGGAAACATTCTCAATGAGGACCCCGACGAAGGGTTCCGTGCGACTCAGTCACTTTCGGCCTCAGCCAATGCCTAAGCTCTCTGGTTTTGGTTTTGCACCTTGACTACGAGGATGAAGACCCCACCTTCATCAACCCCTGGTTATGAATAGGGGGTGTTCCCCTCCAAAAGGGATGATGCCCCACTAAAACCAGGGACACCCCCCCTGGTTGATAAACAGGGGTTTATTAATGTGGGGTCAACATTGCGGGTTTGCTAACGCAGGAAAGTAAACATAAAGAGGCAGACCCATCTTGGCCGTTCCTTTACAAGGTGCCGCCCAGCGGAGTGGAATGAGAGGAAAGATGCTCCCCCAAAGATTGCAAGTAGCCGCACACGTGCTCAATTGCCTAAAATTGGGCCCCTTTTCCCTTGCACCCCCTAAACAACACAGGATTTTTTACCAGGGAAGGGCCCCCCCCAAAGCCCTGCTAGCACCTTCGACACCTGGGCTGGCCGGCACATCTGGGAAGGGCTTCGTGGTGAGATTCTTCAGGGCCTCAGGCGAGAGGCGAGTTCCTCTACCCTTGGCATGGGCTTGCAAACCACTGTGCTTCTTCGCGCCCAGCCCCCCTACTGAACATGAAAAGAACCAACAAAAACAAAAACCTGAAAAACTTGCCAACAACGGTGAAGATACCCCATGGGCACAGTTAGCACACATTTCGTATGTGAAGGTATGGGTGGCCCATGAGGTTCCATTTGCTATCTGATTGTTACTCACTATGCCTCTAGCTACCCTGACATGTTTGACATCCCAAGCCCGTTGATGGTGGCGACAAATCAAGAGAAACAAAACGGCAAACACCGGCGACGAGTCAACACGGCTTCCACTCTCGCGCCACTTCTGAAGGCAAATGTCGGCAATTTGTTTGCAGCACCCCGAAATAGTTCACTTTTGGACTTGCAATTTGTACGAGTGCTTCATTTGCTTGCCTCATGCTGGGTTTTCTACAGTTTGAAGGCTCTCAACATAACTTTGGCGGGATATGGATGGGGCTCTTCGAACCACCATTTAGAGGGCAAGTTGGAGAATTTCGCCTCAATGGATCCAGCGGGACCTAGCAATGAAAAATATTTCTGTTCGGCGGACCACTGGAAATCAAACAAAAGCAGCCCGTCTGATTGAAGCACTCGTTAGCGATACTGCAAGTCAGGGAGACAGGCAACGATCCTTACCCGGCAACGATCCCTTGCTTTAGCCTTGGCACCGTGAAGGCTGTCAAGGGTTGCCTCACCAAGGGGCCCTATGCATACCCTGCATGCCAGCCAGCACCAGCGACATGCAGTGAGGAACTGGCTCTAGGGCTCAGAGGAAAGTGACTCATTTCAGCGGCCGCGAATTCAACCCTGAACTCGAAGTTGGCGAGACCGGGAGCGAAGAACCCAAATGAAACCAGTGACCCATGCAAAAGGAAACCCTTGTGCTAGGTCCTCCAGTAGAGAGGATAGAAACAGGGTACCCGTTTTTCTGTAGTCTACTTTAGTAGGGGAACCCTCCCCCAAAAAAGGGGAGAGAAGCACTACTGGAGGACCTAGTGTGGGTTTTGAGCACTTTGAGTGACAAAGCGGGATTTAGAGGGTGCCATTGAACAGCTGGCACACCCTTCGGACTGCCCCCCCCCTCCCAACCCGAGATGGCAAATTCTGAGACGCTGGCCGGTTCAGTGAGGCGTTCTGCTACGGCGCTCAGCTCTGCCTCAGGGCAAATCCAATGCCCGCCCCGAACTCAATATCACAACTGGGTCAAATTGAATGGTACCAACCAGGCAACCGTAGAGGGTGACAGCAGGTTGATTCCCACCACTAGCCAGCAAGCAGAGCTTGCTGTTTTGGTGTGTGTGTGTGTGCGTGTGTGTGGTCAGTTTTCTTTTGTCGGGGCTGGAGTAGAAGCGTCCAAACTCGACTGCCATGCAGTCAGCCAAACAACAGCGTGCAAGGTCAATAAGTGTTGCTGCAAGCCATCCTCGACTGGCAAGACTTTGCAACAGCCCCCTGACATCTCACAGCTTGGAAGGTACATCAAGAATAGGACGCCAAGAAGATGCCAAGCTCATGGAAGTCTCTGCCGTTCACACTTTGTATTGTCAATGGGTTTGAAAGCGAGACATTTGCGAACTGATTTGACATGGACCCCCTCCAAAAAGGGCAACATGCTTTTCTAACCTGAGACCTGTGTTTCTGACCTGAACACATCTCAAATCATCAAATAAAGGGTCCCCCCTCCAAAAACGACGAACACAACCAACATGAGGAAAATCCACGCCGATGATCCAATGGAACCCCCTAGCTCCAACACCTCCCACCCAAATCAGCTGGGACGTCAACCAGGCGAAAATCTGGACCCCACGCAAGTAACCCACACCAAATGAATCCAAATGCAATACTTCCCAATCCCGAAGGCTGTTTCAGCGGCCAAAGAGCCGTTTTCATTCTTGAGGATGCAGCATGTGTTATCCAAATGCTATGGTAAGGACCTCTTTGTGGGCCCTTGCGGAAGCCAAAGCACCTCTAAGTCACATGGAAAAGGCGATGTCTGGCCGATATGAATCCGAGGGGCGCTGTCAACGGAGGTCCTTTCATTGTTCAGCAAAACGGTCGAAATGGACTTGCGGGGTTCGAGAAACATCTCAATCTGGAACGCGTTTTCAGAGGCGGGGTTGCATCACAGCACGACCCTGGCCCTTGTGAACAAAATCAGGACATATCGCAAATATCCATCTCTAAACGTTTGGCTTCCTTCTGATTCCAGGAGGAACTGCGAATCATTGGCTTTTGAACCCACACGTAACCCTCTGTTGGTTTTTTTGTGGCTATTTCGGCCCCACATGTGTCACACGTTCTCTTTGGATGCTACACACAGTCCGACCGTCTTCCGTGAGCCTTTTAGGCCCTGACCTAGGAAGAAGCAAGCAATTTCGCACTCTTTTTCTAAACCATCGCGAGCGCAGGCACGCGCCTAAGCCGCACGGCCTCCTGTCCAAAGCTCTCTTTAGCTTTTGTGATTTTTGGGGGAAAGCCAACTACCGAGTTCTCACAGTGATTAATACCTAGGGGTGGTATACCTGGACCTTCCAACATGTAAAATTAACGCCGTTTCCCAAAACAGCAATATTTTTTGCCGGTTGCTGAAAAAAACGCTCTTTCGGAGAAAAAGCGCTCGCCGTGAGTTCAGCTCGGAACCAGGCAAAAAAAAAAACGCCGTTTCGCCGGCAAATTACGCCGTTTTGACGGCAAAGTACGCCGTTTTGCAATTTTGATTGATGCTAGAGTGTGCAAACACTGAAAACTGCCGGCAGGCGAAAATAATCGCCGTTGGGTCAAAAAACATAGTTTTTGACAAAACAGCAATAATTTTGCACATGTTGGAAGGCCCAGGTATATAAAAGCCATACTGTGGCCCATTGGGGTCCCCATGATGTCTCAAGATGCCAATGCAAGACCACCTGATGCACACCAAGCAACTGCCTCGCTGCTTGCCCTCATGCGTAGTCACCATGGAAATATCACATAAATACTAAGTCCACACCTGATGTCATATAAGCCCATGTCACCTCGTTGGCTTTGCCGGTCGGTTGTACCGCCTGATAAGCCGCATCATTACATCCATACACCTTGGAATTCATGTTTCCTTTGGCTGGGAAGCGGGCTTCTTGGATCCCCTCTAACCTCGGGGATAACTCTCCTGTTAAAGCAGGCATTGGTTCATAGTGGGGCAAACTTGTTCCCATGCAACCTCACCTGCTGCCCACAACAAATAGAGCTGTTGGTCCCATTGGAAGCTGTGCATCAATTGACCGGCCCAACCTTATCTAGAGGACGTGCGTTGAACAGGGGCGCCTCAAATGTGAGCCGGGACCCCTCCCGGGGATGGGTCGCTCGCCTTTTGCGCCTTTCTAAGGTGCCGCAATGCTCCCCGCGTTCGACGGCCCACCTCCACTTTCCGAGTGGGTTGGCCAACAAACTTCACGTTTGACAGTCACCCGAAAAAGTACAAAGTCCAGGAACTCAGGGAGTGAGAGGTATAAGGAGCCCTTCATGTGGTTGGTGTCATTCTGGTTTCCAGTTCACCTGACGCCAATGGTTGGCCCCGAACAAGGACAAGCCAAACATTGAGCTTGAAAACAGCATCTACTTGGTGTGTTCCACGATATTGGCTGGAAAAGCGGAACCACGGATTTGAAAGACTATGGACATCACACTAAGAGTCGAACTAACGTTCATGAACTCCAACTCCAATTGCCGCAGTTGAGCTTAGCTAAAGCTCAACGCTGCATAAAAAACGTCAATCTCCGGAAATTGCCACGGTGAGACTTTGACATTGCGAGGCCCATGGGCAACAAGCAAAACCATACTGTCGACAAAACACAGCAACACTAGCATGTGATCAACAACAATTCTGCAAACAACCGGCCAAACAACCAACCCATCGAGCCAACAAGCAGTACAACGAATGGCAAGAACACTATAACAATGTAAACAGCGCAATGACTAATGAGCTTCCGCACCAACCAGAACTTTAACAACATATCGCGGGTGTTCTTGCCTGACAAACGTTATCCTGAGGCGAGGGCCTTCATGTTGCATTGCGCCTTTGCCTTTGGTTGGAAAGGTGACCTGATTCAGTTCTCCCTTTGCCAAAGGGGCGCTGAAGCAAAGATTGCGCTACCAACTCACGCCCCATTTACCTTGTGGCCTCTGCGCCTCTCCGATGTCCCGCGTGCGGCTCAAGACTCAGGCGGGAAGATGAGATTCGAGAAGCCCTGGCTCGCGGCTAAGCCGACTGCCTGGAAATCTCCCAGGTGAAAAAAAAAACTCGCGTGGCACCCTCTTGGTTTGCGCCTAGGCCAAGCCCAACCGGACAGATCCTGAGGTGAACGGCCAAAGACCAAAAAGGATCGCTAGAAAGTCAAGAGATCAAACATGGTCAAACAAGTGGGATTTGGACTCACGAGTCTAGCTAACGTTTCACGGCAATGAAGGCTAGATTGTTATCGTCCATTTGCTTGAGTCGCCTGAACAAAATAAACATATTTCCAGTAGTCATAGATCCCTTTAAACCAACACGCAAAAAAAACACAAAAAAAACATGTGTTTGAGCAAATGAAAGTTATCTTACAAATGCAGCACAGCCTCTGCAAACAATCGCTGGATGGGACATTTCACCTGCTTGAAGTCCCTCCGCGGTCACACTGGCAATTAACCCTGGCGATTGACAGCCCCGGCTTTGTGGGCTCTCCGGAAAGCTTCTTCTATGCTCCGGAGCCATGTCCACGCCTTTTGAATACCTTTTTCCAGGGCAAAGTTGGACCCTCCAAGAATGCGCCTACACTTTTAGAAGGCGCCTTTTTTCTGCGAAGAAAATGGGGGAGGGGGGGAGGTCCAAAAAGCGAAGCCTCGGCTCGGCGAGACTGGCCAAATCTATCAGCCCCCCGGCGAATCTGCAATGGAGATTTGCCAAAAAACCTTTCAACCTCTTGTTTGCCGAAAAGCAATGGTCTTCCCAAAAAGTGCAAGAAGTCTAAGATTTCAGAAAATGAGTTGTTTGCCTCGCCTGGGACAAACCTCACGTAAGATATGCAAGGGGCGTTCTTGTACACGAGCTCGGTTGCCGGCCCCTGATTCATGACTGGGATGCTTGATCACCAAGGCCAATAAGCAAATCATGGGACAGACTTGCCTGATGCAGTTGCCATGTTGGGCGCGTGTTCTTTGAGGGTACCTTTGCAGTCTGTTTGAAGCGAAACCGAAAGGGCAAACACATGTTATTTGTTAAGCCCACCCATTTTGACACATTATTACCCATTGGCACGGGCAAACAATACATGTTATTTGGGCTCCACAAAAATTGACACATACCCGTTTGCCCAGCGGGAGGGAGCTCCTGCCTTGCTCAGCGTATAGACCAAGATCACGCACACCATGCCGGTGGCCAGCCAAGGGCCCGTCTCCCAGTCCAAACGTGCCTCGCCTCAGTCCGTTCGCCGCTTGCGATGGCGCCGCTTGGTTCGCGCACCGAGGGGCGCGTTGTTTTTCCCCACCGGCTAACATGGAAGTGCACAAACCCCTGTGGAAAGACTACTTTTCTCTTGGAAAGGGGCTTTGTGCACTTCCATGTAAGTTGGAGGGTTTCAACAAAAAGAAACGGGTGAGGGAGCAGCCGTCCAAATTTGAAAGGGGATCGCTTGAAAGAACACCCCGCAACCAATCCGACAGCTTGTGATCTGGGAGAGACCCCAATAGGTATGAAACGGAGCACCGAATCACGCACTTGCAAGCAAAGACATGTATATATATATATGTACAAATAATTGACACATCCAGGTCTACAAGCACAAGCCGACAGCAGGAGTCAGGCATCGACAACTGCTTCCCAAAACTTTGCAATGGGATCTATGCTGGAGTGCCCGGATGTAGCCTCATGGCTGGTTTGGCGTGAATGTCTACCCTGGCCCCCACTTCTTCTGAATAGTGAGCCTGGGGTAAGCTCGATTGCTGAGGCATTTAGCCATGGCATGGAGCCAAGACAGACAGTTCAAATAAGCTCTGCATGATTATAGCACAGCAGAAAACAGAACAACTACATAAGCGTCCCACGCGTGCTTGCAAAGGCAAAAACGGTCTGTGCATCTGGCTGGATGACTCGTGGGCCATCAAACAACACATGCTTGGAAAGACGGCGAAGCCAACCCTACGGATTTGAACACCTCGCGAGCGTTGTTACATCGCAAGCCCGGCTTCCGAATCCTCCATTTTCAGGGGTTACGGGCTTCCCGCCTTCCATGGGAGCTACAGAGCTGCAAAGGGACATCACCTCTTGGCGTGTTTTGCAATTCCCAGAGGGTCCAAGTATATCATATTTGAGGGTTTCTGGTGAAAGTCCATGCCTGGCCATGTTGCCCCCCCAAGACCGTAAATACACACAACTCCCAAATAGTTCGTATTTGCTGGGCCATTTTGGCCCAAATGTGCACTCAAATCGCACCACCTTTTTCACCACCCCGTGCGCCTGCTGCGAGTTCGACAGGGTTCACAAGGCACCAATCATGCAAGTATATGTGTAAATGTGGTTTTGAGGTGACCATTTTTTCTGATGTGACCAGTTTTGCCTTTCAATGGTAGCCCCAACAACCCTGTCACCTAATTTGATCGGGCCCGATCAGCACCAGCTACTCAAAGATGATGCGGCCATGCTTCAGCCTTAGTCCAATGCGGTCCAATGTGAGGAAACATGCTGGAGCAAGGGTCCCAATCACAAGCCAAGCAGCTGCAACAAAAGCCCTTGCAGGATGCCCTCCTCGAACCTCTTTGCATGGCAGCGCCGGGCCACTCCTATAGTGACAGGTTTCCGCAATCAAGCAAGCACACCATCATGCTAGTGAATCAAAGGCACGAAGCACTCTGCCAACAAAGTCCTCCTGCAAAAAGCAGTGCTGATGGCGGCTGTTGAGCCCTTAGGTCCAAAAGCAGTCCAGTTCACAGGTTGGTGATGCATGCATGTGACTTGATGATGCGCTGCAGCCCAAGCATCGGTCAGTGAGCTGCTGGAAGCAAATCTCCTGAAACACCTCAAGTTGCAATAACTCAGGAACACATTTGGGGTTCTTGGCCATCAATCAGCATCCATATGAATATGCATGCTAATTGAATGGATGCAGGGGAACAACTGCTGGAAACCAATCTCATATATGGACATATTATTTAATGAGAGCCTAGCCACATGCATTTTTGGCCGCACAGGCCACAACATGTGCCCACCACGAGCAGCACGCGATGCCAGGTTGAGGTACCCGGCCATGAACACATCCTTAATTTGCAAAGTACTGTGTCTATCACTTCGATCAAGCAGTCTGCTCAGTACTAGTGTCAGCACGGAACATATAACCAACCCCCCCTCCCCTCGACCAAGCCCAGACACGCAAAGCTCCTGCATCCGCTGCGCCGGGTCAAGCCCATCCTTTGCCACCAGGTACCGCGGCGATGACTCATGCACATTGTGCCACTCAGCCAGGTGCCACCTGGGGCAATATTGGGGCAAGGGAGTGGGTGTGAACTTGGTTGCTGGTGACCCTTAATTTTTTGTGAGTCCAATGAGAAAGCTCAATTTCCCCCAAAGTTCAAGCTAAAGACCCAACCCCATAGCACTCAAGTGAGGGAACTTTTAGATTTGGTTCCAAGCTACATGGTTGACGCCACCAGCGCCATCTCCTCCTCCAAGGGCCCACCCCGCAAAAGAGTCAGGACATCCACACAGGTGTCTGACAGCCATCCAACAATGACTCTTGCCTTGGTTGACAGACAGGCCCATCAACTCAATGGTGAGCCAATGCAATAGCACATTAAATCATGCAAGTGTCATTGTAGGCTTTTGCATGGAGCACCGGGTAAGCGGCCGGATCACCACCCAGGACATTCTTGGAAAAGACCGGCTGGCTATGCCTCAAAATCAATTGCGCCACCATGTGTTTGCAAACATTCAATGAAATGTTTTGAGCCACAGTAATGCAGCAAAGCTTCGTGATGCGTCGCCCCTTTGCCCATTCATTGAAAGCACACCAAGCCTGGCAAAGCCGCTCCTGCAGGCTGACCGCATTCCCACCCCACATGCCGTTGTTGAGCAGGGTTTGAAGGCAGGATCCAGCTGCAAACGTGTCCACCCCCAAATTAAGGGTATGCATAGTGCAGTACTTGATGAGCTGCGGATCAAAGCCCACAATGTCAGTGAGAGCACCTGGTGACATGTTGTTTGCAACTGCAAAAAGGGTAATGCCCCAACTGCCAAACTGAAATCATCCCATCCGGTTCAACACAACCAAGTATACTACTTCAATGCAAATGCTGCCATGTTCAGTGCTGCTGCAGTGTATAATTCAATCTAGTTCACCCATAATAGTTATTTGTAGCCTGGAGCACATACCCCACTATTCAGTGCATCAGTGGCACTTTTCTGCGGGCCGCAGGCTTCATCCAAGAAGTTCTGGCAGCTCCGCCGAGGCCCGGCCGCGAGTTGGGAGGGCACCGTCAAGTACTCATCCTTCTTGGTGAAGCAGCAGTGGCATATGCTTGAGGCATTCCACCAAGCTTTCAGGTTGAAGGATTCCTCAGGGATGCATTGATGTTTAGTGCCTGGTAGTACCAACTCACATCAATTCAGTCCTTGTGGAACTTCCAATCCGCTCTGAACTGAGTGACCGCTGCTTTGATGAGGCCACCCTTGTTCTCCACCCCATTGCAGAGCAGATTCATCGAATCAACAACCTGGGCCACAACCACAACATGGTGTATTGTGACAATACAGCTTACATGAATTCAAAAAAACAAAACTGCAAGCGAGTATCAGGCCGCATCAAAGCTTGAAGGGTCTCAAAGCCAAGGGATTGATCCTCAGACTCTAGAGTTCCTTGAACCAAGCATGTGTGGCAGGTTCAGCAACATTTATTTCGCCAAGCTTCAACCCTGTAGCAGAAAAGTGGCCACATAGCCTTCAAGCTCTTGGAGCTGGTGTCGAGGACATGGCCCATCGCCATCACCACAACCTTCTTTCCCATCTTGTTGTATTGAGCATCATCGCCCCACAGGTAAAGCGGGGCATGGTCCTCACAGGGCCACACTCGTACAACATATTAATGGTATTCAACATGTTCCACACTCAAGCCTATGACACATATGTTGCTTGGGATGGGTTAGTCCTTTGTCCAGCTGCCATGGTTCGCCCAGGAAAGCTTCATGTCATGCACATGCTTCCAGTAGGCTTCAGTTTCCTCACCCAAGTGGTCCGGGAATGCCCCGCAGTCCATCAGCCATGGAAGCAACAGATGTGGCAGGAGAACCGGCACATGCCTTCGATTCCCAATTTCACACACTCACGCACTTATGATTTCCAGACTGCAAACTGATTTCAAAACTAGTTGCTGCCCAGTCTCTGCTGCACCCTCTGGCCCAACTTGTTCTTCATAGGCACCTCCACGTAGGTGAGTGGCACCTGAGTGAAAACACCAGTACTCAACATCATGTTGCACATGAAATTCAATACAAAGGACCCCTCAATGGATGTGGACCCTGCCATATGCACACACATCACATCTCTCTTTCATGTTTTGACCTGGCCCCAATGGAAAAGGGTGCACACACCTTGCAGCCCGGCGCCAGGGACCCGCTCATGCGCAAGATGTCCCTGCGGATGTTGCTGGCCCAGCGACCAGATCTGCCAGACTTCTGGAGGCGCGCCGCCGGTCCACGGAGTGATACTCCATGGCGGTTAAACTCCTTCAGGTAGGGGCAAGTAAACCAAAAATGGGCAATTGGTGTTTCAAGCTAGTCCTGATGGATGACCCGCGCTGTCAGCTGGGCTCGCTGAAAAGATGTGTCCTAAACCAGCATAGGTCAAGTCAGGTTTATATGGAAAAAAATCAGGAAACTAGTCAATTCACACATTAATGCATCAAGTGTCACCAGACCCCAGCATCTCCATGATGTGCTCAAAGAGCGGGCTGTTCTCCAAGGTCATCCCTGCGTTGGGAGTCAGTAGCTACCCCACTCACAACTCAATTTCAATCATGTGCAGATGGACCCAACACAGCGCCGCAAGTTCAATTTTCACCAAAGCAGGTTTCCGTGGTCGATTGTCTCACTTCCCCCCTGAAGCATGTTGCCTCATGAGCACTGTATCTCAGTGCGAAGGCTGACCCCAAAATGCTGGGCAACAGGCTCCCACACTTGTTTCATGGCTGGTCCCTGTTTTGACATTATATGTGTAACTAGTTGCTGACTCACACCCTCATGTAGCTGTTCATGGTTTTGTGTGAGACCATGAAGCATAGGTTGCAGTTGCCCAGGCTTTCACACCCTACAAATCATCTGTCACAGTTCCGGCAGCACGTCTCTTTGGCTTTGCCTTTGCTTTCGGAGCCTTGGTTGTAAGGGACAACATTGTTTGTGTGAAGCAAGAATGCACATATCTGACCAAGCCTA